CAACACGTACGCTACTCCAATATTGAATATTAACACTGCTCTAAAATAGGTGGATATACAACGCGGGGTTTAAACATAATAATGATTGAATTGCATGCAGAAAGCTGGCAAGACCTTGCTTCGCTCTAATAGCTGTGTCCTTGCTCAAGGTTTGTGCGCTGACGTCACGCTCCTACACTCAGTAACAAGAGATTTTGCATTCTAGTTAGTGTGTACCTACTTGTTGCTAACGAACATGTATTATGTATGTATATGGACATAAATAATATGCTGTTACTCCATCCGTTGCATTTTAGTAGATATGAATTTAGTAGTAGAAGTTAATTAAATTAATAAACCGAGTTCGTTCATAGTTTTATAGATTACGCACATGCTTTGTTTGCGTGTCGGTGAATATCTAGAAACCCGATAACAGGATCTGAATTATCTTTTCAACAATGTACCTTACAGATAGTTTTAATATAGATTATAGTAGGACAACGATATACGAGTGCTTTGTTTATTATTAAACTAATTAGTTCGTGATTTTTATAATTTAAAATATAATTAACACACCTACACTGTTAGAGATTGGAATTAATTTTGCTTTTTTCCGGTCACATTCATGGCACCGGTGAACAAGTGGTTGACGTATACATGGTGTGCAGGAACAGGTTCCGTACGGATCACATGTGGCTAGGTCGCTGACCTCAGGGGACCATTGGACGAGTTCCCGATCCTATCGACCGGAGTACCCAGTTCGCATTATTAGCAATAGTTTAGTCATACCACAAAGTTGATAAAGCAACAAATATATAAGCCATGACTGACACTGACATCGCGTATTGCTATTAACTGAGCGTTTAATTAATGCACGAGAATGTAATTCAATGATTAATGACGTAACAAATGACAAATAACTCAGTTTCCTCTACACTGTTGCGATTATAGTACATATCAGATTAGGACTCGTTATCTAGCCAAGAAATGAAACCTTTATGTTTACGTCAGAAGAAATTATCGTAATATTTTTGCAGTAAGTAGCATTCAATAATAACCGATAATAGAACAGTTGGCAACTTTATGTGATAATTTAGTACGGCGACACCGCGTCTGGGGCATGCCATTGTGTTGTGTCGTGTTGCATCAATAATAGACGGCTAGTGTTAGCCAACGTTTGCGTAGGACATGACCTGTATGCAATGCAATTCCCAGGAATAGGTTTAGAGGTAATCCAATTAAAATAACTACTGTTATAAACAGAATACCGTATACTAAGTTTCTATTTTAGTTTTTGCTAAAAGAAATGCTACAGTTTTCTTTCGTTTTGTGGCCGTAATCATTCGTATGCGTTGCCATTTCTGAAGGATTTCGATCTCCAGTAATTTCACCATGGACAACTTTTTGCGTTTTGCTTTTCTTTGAAATTATACCGGCAATAGTAATATTAATTATTTGGCAAATATGTAACTGTGAATCTAAAGATTTCTAATCTATTTTTTAATATCCAATTTGGGTTAAAAGTATATTAGTATGTTTTAAGTTTTCTAATTACTGTTATGACTTTATTTGGAGGTTTGTAGGAACAATGCTCATATATCGTTAATATACTACTGAACGAATTCTTTAGTAATATCTCCTAAAGTGAATAACTGTATTGTTAGTAAAGAAATTTGTATAAAAAAACAGAAACGTAACAATGAAATTTTCAATGATTTTACAGCAGAGTGTAAATACATATTGCGTAACCAAAGTACCTATTGTAATAGTGACACGAGCGCACTAAGCTAGTTCGCCCACGAGGATCGCTTGGCCGCCAACAATTGTACAAGGTTACATGGAAGCGTGGGCCTGAAACGTATTGCATGCACGCCAATGTAACACACGATCATTGTATACATTGTAAATAAGTACGCCATACAGTTGCGAATTGCGACATCTGTGTCCTCGACTACGCATTATATGCAATTTCCGCATCCACGGAACGTAAGTTTCTAAAAGAAAATCAAAATAAACGCCTAGTTCGAAGCTTGTAAAACGTAATTGTGTGACATTGAAATTAATACTAAGAGCACAAATGTCATGACGAAAAAGTGATATAAGTAAGTACGTAATATTCCTATAACAGATACATAAGCATATTGGAGACCTTCGTTAATTATCATGTTTATCAACTATATTTAATTACGTAATTTAAATATTCACAGTAAATATTGTAAAGTTACTGTTTAAAAATTAAATCTAGGTTGCAATATAAAATTGTTAAAACATTATTTTAGTACTACAAAATATATTTTGTAACTTTAAGATTATAAATAAATGTGTTTGATCTCATATTTAATACTGCAATGACCCTGAAAGAAACAATAAATCCATTATATTTGAAATATGTTATTGTTAGAAATAAATAGTCAATTTTATATGTGCATATGTATATTTGTAAGTTCAATAACTTATATTTTCTTTGACTATATAGTACAGTGGGAATGGTCATAACAATTATCTCATTACAAGGGCAATAAAATAATGATTGTGGAGGTTTATAGATAGTACTGTTAAATTAACATCAAGGCATCAATTGTTTCTGCGCGTAGCGCGCGGTCCGCGCCGTGCGGCGTAGGCGGTTAGACGAACCACCCAACAACTCAGTCAACACGTGCGGACTTTTCCACTGCGTAGTCAATTCACTATAAATATAATTTTCTGTAAACATGAATCGTTGTAGGTACTTACATATTAGAACTTTACAACAAATTGCTTACATTGTTCTAATTGAAATGATTGTCAATCTTTATATACATACATCTCTTGTATCTATGATATTAGTAACATTATAAATGGCACGGTGTTCTACATAAAATAATTTAAAAGTGTATTAAATGGTTAACACTAATATTTTTGTGTGACCGCTTTTGTATATCTGTTATGATATTACACAAAAGGGACTGCATTTAATTCCGGTAAAACCAAAAATTTATAAACTTTGTTAAATTTGTATCAGTACCATAATTGTGATACCGGTTTACAAGCAGTAAACTTCTTACACATACATGGTAGTATTTAGTATTGAATCCCGTATGAACGAGGTCGCGGGTGAAGGTTGTTCTCGAACAAAAATATTTTATGACAATGGTATAGCAATCAGGTCAGTAAATTATTTATTAAATACGTAGATCTATTAGAACATACAATAAGCCACTAGTAGTTCACATAGTCATAAAATGTGTTTATGACAATTTTACGTTACAAAGTTGCATAACTAGCGACCACAGTGCTACGCCTTGACATTGCACGACGCACTCAACCGCGCACGTGGATCGTAAATCACACATAAATACATGCAACCTATATACAAAGTATATGCATCTAAACTCAAAAATATTAAGTTCCATAACAGGAAAAACTAATGCGCGTACTTGATATAAAAGTGTAATTTTTTATATTATGTGATCATGAGTATTCATGAGAAATAGACAAACACGGATAAAACTAAACTTTGTACTTTATCACAAAAGTGCGATAAGAACGACAAATGTATAACAGAGATGCCAGAATCGACTTCGCGGTGTAGAAGGTCACCCGCTTACAAGTCGTTTTTAACTATTTCAGTCAGGTAGGTAGGTACTTAAAAATCACAGATTGCTTTATTAAAATGCAGTTAAAGGTTATACGACATTAGTATTAAAATGCAAAACAATATTTTTATCTTGTAGCTGTGATTTTTTGTCTTATGAACAATTTATAGTTAATATAGTTGTATAAGAAGTACTTTTATACTTTCGAATTTTGTAATAATGTTTTCGTTTGTACTGTTTTGTACTAATGTATGTTTTGTTTTTCGTCTACTTTATATTAGTATAGCCGAGATCTTAATAAAGTTGTTCGTATAATATTTTTAATTTTACAAACACAGGATAATGATCATAATTACGTATCTATAATACTACACGTTTCACAAATAATATCTGTACTTATGTACACAAGTATCTGCACATGCATTGTTGAAAGATAATTAAAATGAAAACAGCATTATGTGTCACTGCTTCTTTGTCTACATTATTGATATAAACATACATGCATGCATACTAATACATATATCACTACATCGAATAAATAACCTTTTAAAAATAAATTGATTAAATTTTTTTTAGTAATAAAATTAAATATTTTTTACAAAAATAGAATTGATGCTTTAAAACGAGTTACTAAGGTTCGCAATACTACAACCATGTCTTTAAGTTACGAAACTAGGAATAGAAATACATAGTTCCCTGCAGCCGTGATTTATAGTCATTATGGTATTTAATGACGGGCAACAGGTGGTATTGGTAGGTGAAAGTAGATTCGCACTAACATGAACAACGAGGTTTCTTTAGGCAACACAGTGACAAAGGAAACGACATGTAGTATGATGCATACAGGATATGAACAAACACAACGTCACACATTGATATCCATAGTGTATCATAAGGATCACAAAGCATTTTATCAGATAATGTTTTTATCAAATTTTTTCGTTCAATAAAATATAAATACCATAATTTTATAAATTTAACCAGGTAGGTGGTATACTATAATGGTAAATGTATTGGTTGTTTGGGTAATAATAATAACTATTGTTTGTTATTCTTATTCTAAATCGTTTATAAGTACAAATAAATGAATGGGAATGTAAAAATATGCGATGTAGTAACGGGATGTAATTGTGAAGCGAATGTGTAACGGACCGAAGGCGGACTTCCGTCAACTCAACTCTTGAGCTTGTTCTCTGTCCTCTTCGATACGCAACACAACGCAATAACATCTAGCAGTAAGCGCCCGTTTACCTCCTGGCTTCGTACATGAAAGCGACCACAGAATCAAAGCATGTATGTCACGGTCTAATTGAAGCTCGCACCGGTGACTGAGCACGTTCCACACGACAAATATGTAATTTTGAAGGCGCGTGGCATGGACTAGACCGTTAGTGCTTGAGGAACGATTTTAAAACTATACGGCTGGGACCATGTTGTAAAACTTACCCTTTTCTTGCGAGGATGCAGGTCATAGTCTAAAGCGATGCCTTCGTCGCTGAAGGAAGACGAAGCTGGCGGCGGGGATGGCGTGCCAGAGCGCCACGACGATCCCGAGCTGCTGCTGGCACCTGGTGATACTGAAGAGCGACCGCCCCATGCGCCTAAACAAAAATATTTCATACAATATGGAACATTATCACGAGTATTTAAGTAAGAAAATCTAACAACGCTGTAGAAGACAATTAAGAGAACAACCGTCATTTTAAAGTTTTATCACACGGAATACCCACGTTTCGTTACTGGTATTTACGGCGTCAATGCGACAGATGCATTCCTATCGCTTTTCTTCTAATAGCAATAACGCCTCAGCAGAGATTATTTTGGATCGAAAGATCGGAGTAATTGTATGACAGGCATTTCAACCTGCAGCACCTGGAATGGAAGTCGAAGTCATTTCATCTAACCTATCTAAGTACGTATTGTGTCCAATGGCAGCGTAATGTAAAAAATGTTAAATAATTAAGTTAAAATTACTTTATGGTTAACGCTATTATTAATAACTATATTAGGCTGGCCTAACTGTATAAATGTATACTAAAATACGATAAATTACGAAACGGAATTATGGCTAGCCACTTTCACTGACAAGAACAGCTATCTGCTAGTGGCACACACGCGTACATGCATTTGAACAGCTCTGAAGATGAATCGTAAAGTTTTATGAGTAGTGTGCCGGCATGCGGTGCGAAGATTGCATAATGCAGCTTGTATATAATTTCCTTATTATTAACGGCTAAAACTTAACAAATAAATGTGAATACCTAATAAAACTAGTTTTATTGTAGACTTTATAATAACTATAAGAAGGATACATTGATATCGTTTACACTAATTTATTATTTGAATTCTGACTATTTTTGAATGAAATGCAAAAATTTCTCAAGTATGAAGCTCTATAGCCAATTAGCTATTAATAATTTAGTTCAACTGTATGTAGCGCAGTCCAACATGATGAAACCATTTGGTTGGAACTCATCAGACAACCAGCATTACACCAAATACCTGTCTAGACGAAGTCTAGACAGCTGTCTAGACGTTAGCCACGATTCATATATTTTATACTCTAAACATAAGTGATTTTCTATTAATTATTTATCCAGGCACACATAAATAAGAGGTGATAATTGTTTAAATACGAAAAAAATGAAGACAGAAAGAATTGCCAGTACAAACCTATAAATTTATTAAATTACTATACAGCTTATGTAGAGTTATTATAGTGTTTGGTTTAGAATATTTACCATTAGAGTTAATAACCATGACTTAAAAGGAAAATTGAAATCGGAAATAAGCGTTACATTTTTTTTTAATTTTTCAGTTCCGTTACTCTTCTTTGTCTCTAACTGGCCATACAGAATATTGTATAAACATTACTGCGACTGGTCGATCCAATTGTTACTTTTACATAGGAGAAAGTATATAAATTGTGCCACCCGTGTTAAGTACTATAAGATGTGTGTTATGTAATAGATAGCTTACAGTTGAAAGTAATTCAACCGGCAGTGTTGCTCTGTTGGATCAGGTGGGTGTGACGTGGCGGTCTGCGCCATGGTGAATGTTTCATATCATTTTCGTGACGTTGTAGCGGTGTCATGGTGGTCGTGTGTGACTTACTGGGACGCGGCGAGTTGGGTGAACAGCTGAGCGACATGAGCACCAGGGCTGCGTTGCATTCGTTCATCTGGTCGTCGCGCTCACCATAGCCCAAGTCGCATGAACTGCTGGGGCCTCGTTTGCGTGACCTGCCATATAAATGTACAATCAGTCAACAGGTCTTATTGTAGAAATTCTTTGTAAACTAAACACTGTTTACAAAGCAAGCTGATAGGATGCTGAAATAGATGAAACTGAGGTATCCATGCAGACAACATTTTACAGTCTACCTACCTACAGAGATAAATATGTTTTTCGATAAAACATTAAATAAATACTTAATAGCGATCTCTACATGTAAGGGCAATGCACTCAATCGTAATTTATGGCACAGTTTACAGTCATGGTTGTCATTATTTACGTATGTCCCTCTTTACAAAAAATCGATATCTCAGCGAAGGTTTTAGCTTTCCACGAAAAATCAATAACCTGGCTCAGACGTATGTATGAGTAAATATTAATATATGTTAAAGGTATGTGCATACTATGTCTGAGAATTTGATCAGGTATTAGGTTAGAAATCTACTGTATACTAGTTCATGGACCTTTGTTTCTGTTAAGTTTGTTTGATGAAATTTATAGGAGGCTCTGAATTTACAGAGAGAGGTACATAAGTGTTACGTGAGAGCAGAATAGCCATACGCAAGAGATCGACGAAGTTCGACTATTTTGTGCAGACAAGGCAATGATCCCAAACAGGCTGATTACCCCTAACAACTTGTGAAAGTAAGACATTCAACTCCGACCCGACACAACCATCCATTGAAATAAGATTATTTTGTGAGAATGATCCTCGGGAGGAATTTCGCTTAAGAAAAATACAATTAAATAGAAATATAACATTGGTAAGTACTTTGAACCCGAGAATTATATAACAGTATTTTAAGCGGTTTGAATAGCAGCTTACAATGACGTACTTACATTCAAAATTAAATAATGCGAATGAATGAAAAGTCACAATATGAACGTCATTTCAACTGTACGCATGTACGTAATTTATTATTACAGATTAGCCGATGACGTTAACGAGTTTTAGTAATATGACGACGAAGAAGGATAAAACAAATATCGTGGTTGTTTATCAGAGGATTGTTTAATAAATTAGAATACTTGACTTGAAGATCTTTGAGACAATTACCACCTAATTTAGGTAGATTTCAATTTGGGTGACGTGAAAGGCCAGGAGCCGGGAGGCTGGCGGCGCCGGTACCCTGGGCTCGATGTCCTTGCCGCAGGGTGGCGCGTCGCCCTGATGTCGAGCATTGACTTCGCGCAGGATCGCCGACCGGGCGCAAAGGTTGCCGACACCTTGTTTTTTATCAGCCTTTTTAGATCATGTAACTTTATTATTTTCTACATATTATGTTTATGGCAAGAGTGATTTGTATGATCTTATTGAATTGGATCTTGATCGATTTCGACTTGCTTTAGTATTATATAATCTATTTTCATTGAGATCTATTCAATTTGGTACACCTGTTTTACTCATATTACAGTATAAAAATAATGAAATAATTATACCTATACAAATATTGTAACGACTTATACAAGGTTGGCGTGCGGACATACTCTTCATACACAGTATATTCACCCCGTGTCGTTCCAACCTTTCAGTAAGATATACAAATTAATATAGCCATTGAATAAGAATAGTAGATTACTTGCATCATAACTGGAGTTTCCTGAGTTAAAAAGATCTCCAGTTGATCTCACTCAAATTTCTAGGGTTTTTTATGTAACTGGAATGATTGACATGTCGATGGATGAATGGAAACCAGAAGGAAAACCGTCGCCGTAGGTACATGAACAATTCCATAAAACAAGAATACCAAGTTAACAAACTTTGTCACAGTGATACAATAGTCACCAAAATAAATTCACTACGTAATACATACAAATTTCATTCATTCAATCAATACTATAACATTATATATATAGGTAAATTTGTATGCGAAGGCTACGTCTAGGACGAGGGCTGAGCCAGTGACAGTGATGAGGTCGTTATCGGCGCGAGCGACGACCGCGGCCGCGAGGTGACATTGCTTGTTCGGCTGCGATAATGGGGATGGATGCTTGCCGGTGCCGCTACACTACAGCGTCACATAAATAGCGGTCTGACGTAATTTCCTACATCGCGATGACGTAATGCGACACAAACTTCGTTAGTTACTCGTGTTGATATACACATTCAAAAAGAAGAATTTGATATTCTCATACTATGCGACTTACGTCAACTAATGAACGATACCAATGCCAATATTCTAATATTGGTGAGACAGTTCTAACGTTGTTGGATTCTGAAATGATATTCAAGAGCCGGCCGGCGTGCGACAGCTGTGCACACTCACACAGTCACCATGCTGACGAACAAACTACAGAAGGAGTAACATTGAAAACGACCTCGACGCATGTTGACGATTAAGCGGTAACCGCGCAATACAAAGTAGAATGCCCAAGTGATTGGTGCGGAATAGAATCGGTATAAAACCTATCACATAACTGTGTAGCGTTGACTCTACAGTGTATTTAAATGATTTTCAATACAATTAACTATTTTATAATAATTGGTTCCGAAGGTAACCCTCCAAATTAGTTGAAACAAAATTTAGAAACACTTTCTCTTGTGTTATTTATTAAACGTTTTTAATTAAATACGCCTAATAAATTTCTTAATATGACATTATTTTATTAGGAAATTCATTAGGTATGTTTGTCGCTTATATTGTTTTTGTATTTAACACAAGAGATTATAACCTGTTTGGAACTGGAGAAACCTTATTTATTCTAAGGAGCTTATAGCTAAAATTAGGAGCAACTTAGATAATTTTAAACTTAGGTTTTAATTGATATCAAATCCTATATATAGGTTGAGATTCGTTATTTCTTTCAACAGCCAAAACGGTCATTTTAACTGTATTATTTTGTGGGGAAAAGGATACACGATGTATAGTAAATTTTAATAGTTCTATATATAACAACAAAATTATTAGTCTTTACTCTCGTGTTTGTCGCATAAAAATTATGTCCTGATTAAGTTTTTGTTTGTGTAATGACTACATCTATAGGTATATTTGTCGTAAGATTTTTTTGCAAGCATTGTGTAGGTCGGGGACCATTATTTCAGGTTGTTAAAAAGAGGTTCGTTTAGATTTACAATATTAACGTATTGGGTCCGCCTGCGCTGCAGGTACCCGTTAACGGTGATGAGGTCATCAAAGAACTTGATTTCAACTTTGGAGTAATAAAATGTTAAAAGTTTAAAGTGTAAAAGTTTAGAATATTATGAAGTTAAGAATTCAATTTTAAGATATTTTTTCTATGTATATGGTTATCGAGTGCCTGTGTACTCCGTTAATAAAGTGAATTAACGTAAAAAAAACGTAAAAATAAGTAATAAACGAACTGCACTGTGTTGTCGTTTCGTTATGTATTCATCTGCAGTATAGGAATTAGAATTGTTACCAATTTGGTGTTTACATGGTTGACGTAAGAACATAACAATCAATACTGACAATCACAGGCATGTCCACACACTTAACACATTCGTAACAAAATAGTGCGCAACATTGAACTTGAATAACGTTGTGAAACAATGTAGGTTCTTAAATTCATCTACTATATCATCTTGCAATCACTTTGTGGTATTAACCCATGAGCATACATATAAGGTGACCGACAAGCTTACAACGAACATAATTTGTTTGTGATGACGTGACACTTGGCTAAACTACAATCAAACAGTCATTAGCGAAAATCACGAATGCCATTATTCTGTGCATTTCGGAGAATAATGTTCATTATTTTGAAAAGTGGAATAACCTGCTTGTATAAAAGGCGGATGAAAGTCAATGCCGCGATAAATAACTTTTGATGAGTAATCAACAAAACCATATACTGAAACTGAGATATCCTGTTTGAGAAAAAAATGTTTTAAACTATATTCTGAAGACATATCAGGCTTAAGAAACTTGTTTAAAATGAATTTATAATTTATTATCAAGTTTGGGTACAAAATTATTAAATGTTTGCATAATACAGAATACAATTACTGTTGTAACACTTTCTCTATACGATGGCGGCATACCTACACCTGCCAAATGAGATAACGGTCCTCCACAACACCAACGAAAGCAAAGACATAGTCACGAGAAAGTGCAGGCAGCCCCACCACAAGCTCTACACGCCTTCTCTTTGCATGTTGCGCAAACGAACGCGGAATGTAAACCAATGTAGTTTTTAATGTATCCTGGGGAAACTAGATCATAATTGAAAAGCAGCAATTTACAGGTATAATTCACTGTAGGGACTAATATTATAGAGTAGGTTCTTGATACTGGAATATAACAAAATATAAAAATAATCGTTTATAGATAATAATTTACTAGTTATATAATTACGAATAGTAACTGTCTAAGAAAAGAAATTTTAATAAGTTTTACATGTGTTATGCAGTAAGATAATCATCGTTCTTTTAAAAATTGAATGGACCTACATAGTCATACCTGAAGAGAAGCTATTAAGAACCAAAATTTCATATCTTCATCTTATACATTTTATATTTAAGTAATATAAGGTGGTTTCTATTAAGCATTTCATATTAATTTAATTTTGTGAGTTGAACAGATATTACACCTAACATTGAGTTGGCACTAGCTGACACTGACAAAGCAACACGTCTCGTCAGCGCGGCGACATATCGAGGTTTTGCGTGTTACCATTGCGACATCACAAATTCAGAATGCGGGTCGTGTTGCCGCCCTACTGTCCGATAGGATGCTGCCTACCAGGTCGCAAAGGCACGCCGATTTCTACGAGATATTAGTGTCATTGGGACTACATTGGGACTTTTACAGTTGAATTCATTATGAATTCTATTTCATTAAAATGTTTCAAGTTCATGGTTCAAGGTTCATGTTAATTTTTGCTATCAATTAATGTATACTTTTTTTTCAATCAAGTGTATACCTATACCTATACTATAAAACAACACATAATGGGAATTTGTGGTAAGAAAGAACTTGAATATAACATACTAACTAAAAATGATGCTTGTATATATAGACACAATTATAAAATTGTATTACAATCATTTGCTATTTTAGTAAAATCGTATTATCCATAGCAAATTTATAGCAAGTGCGCTTTATTGCTTATTTCATTACCGCAAATGGCGCGGTCGCGGACATCGTCATATGCGGACATGGCGTCGGTTTGTATTTCTCTAGTGTGCGTGGCGTTCCATTTTGAAACTAGGTCACCGTGTCACGTGGCGCCCGCGCCAGCCCAGTGCCAATCGAATGCGAAGCCATCTTTGAATTCAATGACTTGTTTCATAAGCGTAAGTTTATCTCCATCCTCCCCACGCATTTGATTCTTCGTGCATACCTAAGAGGTGCCCCTTTACGGTGAGAATTGGTCGTTCGTCTTTTGGCGTTTACGATTAAACTGACATTAAAAATACACAAAAAGGAAAATGTTACGTCTATGTAGCGCCCGTCAAATCAAAAGAAAACGAACGTTGGCAAACTTTCACTTTGTCAGGCCGCATTCGTGTTGCGAAATTTGTTTCAATCACGATATCTAAAACAAATATCCAGTGTACGACAGTACTACAATTTATTTTTATTAATTATAATTATTTGGTTAGTGTAAAATGTGGGCCTCTCAAACGGTATTTTAATAAAATACCGTTTGGGAGGCCAATATTTATAGTATTCAGATATAAGTACGTACCTTGTTGAAAACAATTCTTAAAACAATATTGATACTAGTTCCCTTTTTCCGTAGAAAGATTTCAATGCTTCTGTGCTGTTATAATTTAATAGTAAGAAATGCCTTTCTGTGACTGTTAATTTTAGTTTCAGCAGAAGGAACATTGCCAAAATTTTACCAGGGGCAAGGGCTGTTTTAGAGCTGCATTCATAGGGAACTCTTGTCATCTATGTGTAAAGTGAACCTACAGAACATAGCTATGCAGTATTCATTATTCGTACACTTATTACTTGTACAGAATAAATAAATACTACAGAATTTAATGATATTCCATACTAGTACACCTAATGTTAGTACAGTTGGTAATGTGTGAACAGATTGTGAATCAAGTGTATATATCATATACTACATTAGATAGTACAGTATTTCAAAGTAACGGAATGTATAATTGTAAGCAAGTCATTTACAATAATTGAGAGCAGATTTATCCCTCGTGAGTCGGTTTCGGCGCTTATTGTGAAATTTTGACGGCGTTCTGAGGTCTCGCCTCTCACTGCGATCATGATGAAAAGTGAAACTGCGGTGCCGGCGAATGTCACGTCGCACCAGCCGCTTGATGCTATTTGTTCCGGTTCCATTGCAATACATTATGTTGGCTTATTGACCGCCACATTGTATTTTTAAGAAAAAATATTTTCCCTTTTGTAATATAATATAAACGCGCCTTTAATAACCACGGGGATTCTAAAGCTTTGACATCATTTTTACAAAACGCAAGAAGTTGTATTGTGTTTGTCAAATTGCCTCAACTGTATTGGATTGTAACGGCAATGGTATTTATGTAATCTACTAGTTTTTTAGATCTCTCTCACAATGTTGCATTGTTTGTCCTGGTATGAGGCGAGGTGGGGCCCGGAGCGCGGGCGGTGGGATCCGGCCGTAGAATGTAGGCAAGTGTGACAAGGACACGCCTGTACTCTGCACTAACACTTCCATCCAGTTTATAACGTGCCCGGTGCCGCGCATTTCGCAACGAATGCCCGCGCTCACGCCCGGCCCCACTTCGCCGATGCACGCTCGTGAGCGATTACCTATCTACAAGGTAACCTATTACAATACATCGCCGCGGCCGCCTGATCTAACTTGCCTAATATAAGCTCTTGAATAGAAATCATTACATACAGTACTTATACAAGACAAATTCCTTTCACCATATTAATTAGTGTTTGCTGTATATTTTTATATTCGAAACTTATAATGAATGAATCAATATTATGTTTTAACTCCCTTATTAGACTGTGTCTAATAAGGGAGAGTGATGACTGAACCTGACCTTGTCTTTATACCTGGCGATGATGAAAATAGTTATACTTTAAATAATGAATTCCTAACACTTTTTTCTTTCCTGTAATTGCCTATTATTATATCCTGAAGACAAAATTGGAGAAAACACACAGAGACACGGTGAACTTATATTATTACGACGAAATTGCAAAATCCTGTTACAAACAAGTATGCACATGGATTAGAAATAAGGTGGCCTTCCTCATCGCTCACTCACGTCGAGGTCAGCCAGTATCTCAAGGCGAAATGCCATCGATATTTGATAATTAAACACCCTATGATTCTCAATATCCACTTATCCAGATTTCACGAGCATGATCGACAAACTAGTAATTGGTTTGTTTAGAAGACTATATGTGAAATATGTGCATATATCTGCTCTACGATAAAGTCGACTTGGACTTGAAATAGCAGCATTTTAATGAATGTCATATTTATCAATTGTCATCTAGAATAATATATTTATTTACTTACTGATAATTCAAATGTCAAAACCGAATCTACTGCTGTGACATTCATTTGATTTTCGATTATGGAATTGCAATTGAATTAATATAAATATTGTAGATATAATAAGTACTTATAGAAAATCATATAAACTTGAGTACAACTTTTAAATTAACTTGTTCTGTAATACGTACTGCCTTCCGTTCGGCTCTACGTAACGTAACGTTTCTTTAAGATAGTTTTGGGAAAAACAGACTTTTATCATCTCGTTTTTGGACGTATTTTCAATGTAACTCACCCCTGCATATGATGAGCTGGCACTTCGATAGTAGCTGAGGCACGGCGGCGGTCACCTGCCATATCTGCAAGCCTGGCAAAATCTGTGTCCACATCAGCCAGCCTTGCTGATTTCCGCGACTCCAACAGTCTTATTTCATCTAGTCTTTTCTTCAGTTCCAGACGTGCCTATTAACAAAAAAAAAATACAATTTAATATATGTATATAGAATATTGCCAGTCATTAATTTATTTTAATAATTATATGAAACTTCTATTCAAGACGTCGACACTGATTTTATTGATATTTCATGTTTAACATTATTCGACAAATTACTGTAATAAATAGTATACGTAATACAATGTTGCTTGCATGCAATAAGTGGGTGTGAACACGAGATCAATACGGCGACCTTCGTACAGTCCGTGGTTGGGTGGACATGACGTCATGACCGGCTTGATGCAACTAGAGCGAGATGAAGTAACACCAGGCACAATGATATCAGCTCCTGTGCGTCGCCATTTATAATGTATAATACTATAATGATATTCTGATTAATTGGAACACCAATAAGATTAAATTACTTTTGGTGTAGTTTTTTTGTTTTTTAAAATATGACCTAGATTGGTCACATAAATTTTGAGTATCGTAGAGTATAGTCATTTCTTTAAAATAACCTAAATTCGTGAGATTAATTTAGGTTTGATACAACTGATATCTACTTACTGTAAATCCAAATTTTAAATTTCTCTAAAATGAGATCAAATTGTTCCATGTTCTTCATTTTGATAAGTAAAGTTAATTTTTCTGATGTGAAAATTATTCGGTAACAATATAATGCTGGAAGTTGGCCAAAGGTATTTTTTGTAATAAAATACCTTAGGCCAACGAAATGATGACCGAGTTGTCTCTAGGTCAAGAATTATTTCAAAAAATGTTTTTAAATACACACAAATACAATGATTGATTAATATTTACCTGCGTAATAGTCATAGTAATCATTTACTAGTTTAAATAACTAATATGAAGTACACAAAGATAAACAAGTTCATAATATTATGTATAGTGCTAATGTCTGTCGCATTGCTTGCATAATTGCCTTCATCATCTAGCTCTCCCTCTCTCAATGATATTGACATTGCTTTTCCGCAGTGTTCATTGTTTGTTGTAAATATTATGTATTTTTCACACTTGTATCTACGTAGTACTAATTTTAACATACCGTAGAAACTTATGTATTAATAGAATTTTATTATGAACGAATTCATCTAATTGCATTATTAAATAAATAATTCAATTAGATGAAATAGAAAATATTTATTTTCTTTATATAATTGGAATTGCATGGATTGTATTGCATTGCAATAACAACCATTTCCTATATATACATACATAAGCATTACCATGGCCATCACGTTATCATGTAACGCCCGTGAATCCACTCATGCGTTGCTATTCCGGAGGACTGAAATGACATGTCTCTGTAATTTTACTGCCCTTTTTGCCATGTGACCAACAAGCTATTTAGTGGCTTAAATAAGTGAGTCTGCGGGTAGGTCCCTCAGTCTCATTTAGACATTTGTACAAAGTCTACCTCGGTGAAAGTACTTTATAAATGTTTTATAATATTATTATACGGTAGTTGCTTAGCTGAATTAATAAATCGGGGTCATTCTGATATCGGTATGTGTCATGAACAGTCGACTGGTTGACATTGATTCCGATTCGGGCTTCTTCCTGCGCACGCGCACTCGCTTGATTGACACGGCTTGAACGTGCGCGCCACAACCGCTACTGGTATTGTAAATGTTACGTACGTCATTTTGACGTGTATAACCTTGTTGTTATGACACCAAACATTTTTTCGCGCCGCACAATGGGCCTCGTGCTGCGCTGTTCTATATTAGAGTATATTCTTGAACAATAACTTTTAACCCTACTATTTTGTTCTAAGTTTCTACAAAATAACTTGTAGGAACAAATACCTCAAGTTGCAATTAGAAACTGCTATTAGTTAATGGATAACTCATTTAACCTCGATAGGCAATCGTATCCGATGACCTATTCTAAAAATCATTAACCCTAATTTTGTGTGCGAACACACTTTACTTTATAAAAAATCATTTTTAGTATAGATATTTGTATAGAATTTTTCAAGCATTGATACTAAGGTTCAGTCATTGTTGCTTCATAAAAGAATGCTTTAAGTAAATGGGGTCCTGTTACTACAACCTGTACCACTTTCTATCAGTTTATTTGCTTTTCCGCTAGTATATAATCAATTATTTATTCCTATTTCTTAGAATGTACTCGGTGTTTTCCGCCCCGTTATACCCTACCTGTAATAATGTCGTGATGATGGATGGATGTCAGTTTCTTGTGGATTAAAGTGGACAAACTTAACAAAATTAACCGGTTTTCTAATACCAAATTATAATTATGTCTTATATTTATTCAAAGTTTCGCAGTTGTGTAAAATACAAGTAGGCGTTTGTAGACAAACCAACAAGAACCGAGTAGCGCTACGTAGAGTGCTTAATAGCATCATACTTTCACTTTTAAGCGATTTCGTGCGAGTGTGGTCGTACCGTGAGACGGCAACATGGCGAGACGTAAGTACGTACCGTACACAGCACCGGAACAATGAAAGTTATTTTAATTAATCTTTAAGAACGGGCGAATCATGACCTAAATGAGAAATTTCAATATTCCATGATTATTATGTGAAAATGCTATCCTGGATTTAAAAACTTGCAGATGAAATACTTTGATGGTAAAAATATAGTTGGAAACATCAATAGAAAAATATGAACAGAACATTTTGTAAAACATTTCTGTAACTTTATTTATCATTAGTTTTTTATTTGTTTTCTACTTTTTATATATACATGAAATAGTATTTAACTATTTTAAAACACTTTGAATACTTGCCTCGATGTCTATTGAAAAAAAACACACGTGATATAACCATAAAACGAATTGGTACAAATTTTTGAGTAATTATAACAAAAGCAGTGCAGTGGTTACAATTGTTGTTATGTAAATTATTTTGTGAAAATAAAGAAAATTAGAACTATTGTTCCGTTGTTATTATTATATATAAAATATGTAAGCCGAAAATGTGGAACAACATATTCCGACATTTATTGTATCACATGGATTCGTAAATTTTACAAAGTTGTAATATTGATTAGCTGAGGTTCTACTCCCGATACATATCAAATGTCAGTTTGCACGAGTGCGTTATATAAAAAGTTTAATAACTCTTGCACAATAACTACTCGATGGCGAAAGACGCTTTTAAAATGCCAGTGAAAGTCACCCAGTGACTTTGACATGGTAACGCCGCATAATTATTATGAATTAGATGTATTATTGATATGTTCTTCTTCTTCTTCTACCATGCGAGTATTTTTAGAATTTATTTAAGATAATCATCTTATTCATCACCATCATCATCATCAAATAATTATTTATTGGCAATATGAAGTCGCCAGAAATCTTCCAACTTTACTGTTGCTGATTTTTATAATTCAAAATATTCAAAACCTAATATATAATTAACATTCGTAGCAAGTATAGAAGTAATATACAGATTTCACTCCCTTTAATTTTATGTATGCCTTGCTGTAGTTAGTTGACACATTGTTGCAATAAATAAGGTACTACACAGCATTACAAAATAATACAATATTCGTAAGTAGAGTAATACTGGTAAGCCGAAATCACATTATAATTCTCATTGAACTATATCTTAATATTGAATCTGGATAACAGAGAATTTTTAGGGCATTTTAATTCTTACACGTTTTTACTTTTTCAGTTACAAGAAGACTGCATATTGATACACCCTAAAATAATGACGACCACTAATCCTGTATAACTGGCCATTTTCGTCGCCTACTAAATCGCAGGTAGGTGGTTACGAAAGCTCGGCCCGCTCTACTGCGCATCGATGTTGTTGCTGCGCGAAACTGATTATCTATGCTCGTAACAGACGTGTTGAAATATACACTGCATTTGAAACAACGGAAAGAAAACTTCAACTTATACCTGGATTACATTATAAACGAGAAATACCTTCACGACTTATCCCCGATGGGGTAATCAGAGTCATTTTCAACTGTTGACCTCAAGGTGAACACAACTTGCCTTTCGCTTGGTATTATTTGAATTCTACATGTTAATGGGAGAGGCTATCCTTTAGGTAATTTTTGGTTTATTATATTATCAGTATTTTCATTAGTAAATGGTTAGTCAGAAATGTAAATAAATACAGTTTTTGGTGTCGCATTAAACCAGGCCTTGATGACTCTCATGACAGTCCGAATTGCAATCGCTGAATTAAAGCAACAGTAATGAAATGATTAAAAATGTAGATTGCATACTTATATAGTGATTAATGCTCTATTGATTTCAAAGAAGCGAAAGTTAATGTACTCTGATCAAGCAAGGTGGCATTGACTGCGTCAACATCGAGTCAATGGCTGAGGAGGCCGGTTGCCGGCTCCGCGATACGAGCGTGCGTCGCGCATCGCACCAGCCACCGCCGGCCGGCATGACGAGTTCCTTTTTACTACGAAAAACGTACTCGACAAATAATTGAATTACGCGCTAATTCATTGTTGGCGATAAAACATTTTCTACACTAGAGTCATGCAACATTCTTGTATTCTTTACCCGTACATTCGTTATTTAAAATATCTACGCACGACACGATTTTGCACTTGATCGGTTGTGCGGATTTGTATTTTCTTTCGATCCAAATTGTCATTTATTGTTAGGTCTCTAGTTGGGTTTTTTGGGTCGACATGTGTCAGCCTACCACATATTAGCATGCTCGAAGATGCCTATAGACAAACCATACAAAATTAGATATTTGAACAATTTATCGCATTCCTCATTGTAATCATACTACTTTGTACTTTACATATTTAGAGGCTAGCTTAATATAACAGTGAAAACCAATTAGCATGTCACTGCGTGACGTTTGGGCTCTTTAAAAGAGTCACATGACCTCTGTCTATATTGGGGTGGAATGAAGCAATAAAAAAAGTGTCTCGTTTCAATGTGGCAGACACGTTGTTGCTATGTGATTGTATGGTGTATGTATTATACAAGATACCTACGTATGAAAGGGACAACGCACCTTTAATTATGTCCCGTTTGGTAAAACAATGGACCGCTC